TGTGTTCATCCAGCTCTACACCTTGTTATCTCAGATTCTCCAGCATCTGCAGTTCCTACTATCTCTGAAACAACCTTTCCAATAAATGTGTCCAGCCACAGAAACAGGCAACATGTTGAATTTCTGAAAACTCCTTGGAGTTTAAAAGTTTATTACTTTGCCTTATAATAACATTTCTTAATAACATTTCCTAAGTCAAAAAATAAAACGGAAAACCCAAAGTGCATGAATGCTGGGTTAAAAACGAATTGGCACAATGGACAGCCCTGAAGATTGCCCTGTCTATCTTTCTGAGCAATTGGAATGTCCTGTTTCATTAAAATGATAGCAGCATGCATGCTTAAAGGATCACAATGTACATGTATAAAGGTCTTCCACATTCATCCCCTCCTGTGTATATCAGCAGCTAAAGAGCAAGATGGTCAGGTGTCCAACTGCTAGCTTATTTGCAAATGCACTATAATTTCACTCAGGTAGAGGATAACTTCCAATCACTGATGTTTTACTGGCAAAACAAAACAGGAATGCTAGTAATGTCTTGCTTGTATTGAACAAGTGATCCTGGTGAGATAGCATTTGCAGCCATCTACAGTTATATTTTGTTAAAATTGTAATTTCAAAGACGTGCAGTGCAGTATTTCAAACCTAAAGAACTGCGGATGCTATAAATCAGGAACAAAAACAAATTTGCTGGAAATGCTCAGCAAGTCTGAAGGAAAAAAAACAGAATTAACGTTTCGGGTCCGGTGACCTTTCCTTAGAACCCTGTTTTTTTCCTTCACAGAAGCTGCCAGAGCTGCTGAGTAGCGCAGTAATTCTACCGACCTCCACCCTCAATCACTTCTCTGAGCTATTGCTGAAAGATAAACTGCCCAGTGTGGCCCTCAACCATTTGGGTTGGAAGATCTGAGCGTTAATCAGTTGGTTTCAGCGCCATTGGTTCGGGGATGAAAAGAAAAAAAAATGTTTTCCAAAACCAATAGTTACTCAATTAGTTACGCTAGAAAAGAAATGCACGTGTGGAGAGAGAAAGCTCTGAAACCACTATTCTGTTTGGCAATGCTAATAAATATTAACGAGGCTTATATAACAGCTAGGAGACAGCAAGAACTGCAGAGTCAATACAGTGTGGAGCTGGAGGAACACAGGAGGGTCAGGCAGCATCAGAGGAGCAGGAAAGTCGACGTTTCGGGTTTACACCTTTCATCAGGGCTTCCCCACTCCTCTCCCACTACTGCCGGACCTGCTGTGTTCCTCCAGCTCCACACTATGTTGTGGTTGATATAACTGTTGCCGCAGCAGAGTTCATAAGTTGGAAGATGGTCCTGATTGGAAATAAACTTTTTAAAATGCGCGCGATGTGTATCGTTCCCAGGAGGCAGATTTAGGAAGTGATTAACAACATGTCAGTGTCATATTACCCCTGTTTCTAAGAGTCAAACCATAAACACAATACGCCATTGTAATTATTACAGACAGAGCAAGATGAATGATGTGAACTGTGTAAAAGTACACATACGCTGTGAATTTCAGTGCAAACATACATTTTACAGCTCTCTTCTATGGAACTATTTTCCCCTCCTCAGTAATTGTTAACTATAAAATCAGTGTACATTCAAGGTTGCAGCTGGCGTGAATATACACCTGTTATCAGATTGTTAGAACCATTGCATTGTGTTTGCTGATGTATTGCCAATAGTGCCAGATAAGGGCATTCAGCTCTTTTATTTCATCTGTTTTGTTTCTATCCAAAGGTTTCCATCAAATGTGGGTTCAATGAACATTTAAATGCACTGTTTCACCTTTGATATCAAAGTTCTGAATTTGTCAATAATTCTAGCATATAACTTTAAATCTTTGCTAACTTATGTTGCTTTTCTGTCAGAAACAAAGTGTTAACTTTGACAGTTTCTTTTTTCAGCATTACTCTGGTGAAGTTCATGATTTTTATAATTCCACGTTAACAATGTCATAAAAACATTTTTATAAGGCGCAAACTCTCTCACTACCATCTGCTTCTAAATTATTACTATGATCACAGTCAGTTGGCTGTTTAACTTTCCTTTATTGATTCTCTTATGCTGCAAGAATACTCTATCTTCTTCGTAGTGTCAAAATTATCATGTCAGTTAGCCCAACTCAATACTCATAGGGTTTTAAGAATGTGGAACTTTTTTTATCAACCTTTCTTTCCAGCATGAATCTTCAAGCATTTGAGACAAAAGTAAACATTTTGCACAAACCTAAAACCTTCAGTCTCTATAACACCACATACTGCAAACACCTAATTATATTTATCAGTATAGAGAGCAAAACAACCATGCACTTTCCAGCTGTGATGTTTCTCATAAAAATAATACTTTCCCTCCCTACAAAAAGCTAATTAATAAAATTATTTTAATAGAACAGAATTTTGAGCAGTAGCATTTAAACATGGACCTTACCATGTGTGCATTTTTCTACTTTTCCATCTATCTTTATCTTCAATAATAAGGTTATTTTCCATATCCAAATGTCTGCTAAAGCAGCAGGATCCCCAACGTTTGGATGTTATTTAAGCTGAATAGTCAAAGTTTGATTTTTTAACCATAAATGTATTATTCACCCACAAAAAAATTACTGTAAGAGCCCTGAAGAAATAAGGCAAGCATGATTGTCTTGTGATTCACCAAAAAACTGCAAAGGTTGAAAATCTAAAATGAATTAGATGGAAATACAATTCAATATTTCTTTAAAGCAAAAAACTCTCCAAATTATTTTTGTCTCTGTATCTAAATGCCAATGCAACACAGAAAACTTTAATGATTAATTTACCTATGCTACAATTAGATTGTACTATTTTGTCTCTTTTTCTGGTTGAAGAACCCTGTTTAAAATGGTATCTTATGGCTAGCCCCATGTAAATGCTAATATTATATCATATTCATAATATAAAGATTCTGCAGGTAAGGAGTGTTTTGATAACACTTTTAAGAAACCAGGTCTGTTACATTCTGATATCAGCTGGTTGGGTGGACCTGATGGTTGTACAGCACAAACCTGAACATTTTGAAAATGTGCTTTCAGGTTGGACTAATATGACATTCACCATCAGCCTCTCACCCCGTGGGTCTGTCTGGAGATCATTGTGCTGCTTTCATGTTTATCCATGTGTGGTCCCTTCTGAGATGAGACACTATATCCCCTTACAATTTTAACTCACTCAAAACCCATTCACTTACAATTAAAGTGAATTATTCTTACAGGGATGTGATGGCTTAATGGTCTTATTGCTAGGCCATCAATCCAGGGACTCAGGTAATGTTCCGGGGATTTGGATTTGAATCTCACCATGGTAGATTGAATTAAGAACTGAATGACGACCATGAAGCCATTGTCAGTTATGAGAAATAAACCACTAATGCTCTTCAGGGAAGGAAAACTGCCATCTTTATCTGGTCTGGACTACATCCGACTCCAGGTCCACTGCAATATGGTTGACCCTCAACTGGTCTCTGGGCAAATTAGGGATTGGCAATAAATGCCGGTCTAGCCAGCAATGCCCTTATCCTATGAATTAATTTAAAAAACTCAATTTCCACCTCCTAGCTCACAACCAATCTGCCACTGAATTATTTAATGGATATTCCCTAGAGGATCTTGACCAGTTGAAAAGTCACTGGTTAGGACGGAGAGAGCCCGCTTGTGAAAACATGGAAAGTGAGTGGGCACAAACATTGAGAAGCAAAAATGACGGGAAGAAAAAGCTTTTTGACAGAAGGAACCGTTCTGATCTGGAGAATGTGTGGAGGCAGGTTCAGTTGGCGTATTCAATAGGGAATTAGATGGCTATTTGAAAAGGAAAAATGAGCAGAGTTGTAGGGAAAAGACGGGAAAATAGTGCTGAATGAGTTACCATTTGAAGAACAGTGCTGAAATAGTGGGCCGAATGGCCTCCTCCTGCACTCTAACAATTCTTGTAGAGTTTACCATTCAAGAAAGTTGGGGGGTTGGGGGGGTGGGGGGCGCGCGGTGAGCAACATGGAAAATCTTTCCCAAACTTCCAGATTCAAAAAGGAAATGCACAAGAGAGAAAAAAGGCAGGGCAGCTACAGGTAAGCCTGCATGAGGCTGAATGACCTTCGGAATTGACAAGTCTTACAGCGTGGGCTTGCCGATGTTGGGAATGGGATGGGGAGATGGGGGGCGGGGGAACTAATGCAAGGTGCTGGAGTTGACCAGTTTCTGCTCATGACCCTTCCCCAGGTTTTACAGGTCATCCTGCGTGTTTATATTCCATCACGGTGAAACAATCCTTTCCAGCCGGCATTGTCACCGATGTGAGCATGACTCAGTTACCCAGCCCCTTCCTGAGCAGTTCTCGGTCAGAGTTCAGGCTGAGGAAGGGAAAGAGAGAGAGAGTGAAAAGGCTGACCCCCCCCCCCCCCCCCCCCCTCTTTTGTTGCTTACGTGGTAGCAGAGCGGGGTAGGAGGGGGGAAGACGGATGGGCGGGAAAATAAAAGACAGCTCGATCATTGAGAGAGCGTGTGAATCAGGACAGTTTAGTTCTGCAGAGAATGGCAAAGGGAGAAGGCGGCGAAACGTGTGGCGTTACAGCGACTTTCTTACAGCCCAAGGCGATCTCGGCGGACGAGCGGGGACTGAAACAGGTAAGAGACCCACCCTCCCAACTAAAATTTGTAAAATAACCTTGCCCCAAACTTTATAAACTAATCCTAATCCGCTCCCAAACTTTATAAACTAACCCTGACTCTCCCCAAACTTTATAAATTAACCCTAATCCCCCTAAACTTTATAAACTAACCCTAACTCTCCCCAAACTTTATGAACTAATACTAACTCTCCCCAAACTTTATAAACTAACCCTATACCCCCCAAACTTTATAAACTATCCTAACTATCCCCAAACTTTATAAACTAACCCTATACCCCCCAAACTTTATAAACTAACCTAACTATCCCCAAACTTTATAAACTAACCCTATACCCCCCAAACTTTATAAACTAACTCTAACCCGTCCCAAACTTTACAGACTAACCCTAACCCCACAAAGTCCAGACTGCCTGACTCACGGTGTGAGAAGGAACACTCAGTCAGATCCTGTTCGATGGGTCAAAGAGACGGAATTGTCATTCAAAAGTCACTGAGTTCAGCTTTGACTCTATGCTTTCTCTATCAGAGCGCCACTTGATCTGTTCTTCCACCGAATGTTTAAATTAAATTTAGAACGGATGCTTCAGACAGACATCGCTGCTCCTGTTTGAGATCACATCGGAAACTCGCAGTGTTTTTTTTTAAAATCTCACTTAACCCTGAATTCAAAACATAAATTTCAATCGGAAACCGTTCAAAGTGCATGGAGAGGTTAAAAAGAAAATGCTAAGTAGGCGAAGTTGGAACTAAAACTTCCGGGAATGCTGCACGCAAGTGGAGAAAAACTGGCTTAAATATGAGAGAATGAGTTTTGTTGCGAGGGGAGAATGGGCTGTGGGGTTTAATCGACCATGATAACAATCACTGCAGGAACAGTGGGAGGCGAATCCGTGAATGTCTTTGCCGTGTGTGTGTGTTGTGAATACTCTGCCCGGATTGGCGTGTTACTGGGAGGTGTGTACCTCCCTCTGGCCAGTCAGTCTCAGCCACTGAAGGCTGGGACCAAATCACCGCCGTCAGTGCAAACACACTCCTTGCATTCCTGTTTACTCTAGAGTCTAGCCGTGTTGCCACCGAAGGAGAAGTGAGATCAGGCACGTTGCTTTTAACGGATTTGTAAAGATTACATCTGTTAACCGCACCCATGTCTTCAGCTTCCTTCTACGTTGAGTTTTGTTAAGGACCATACAGTTTTCTGTCCGAGTGTGTGTACACTCGCCTTAAATCCGGGACGCAGGATTAGCCAATATACAAGGCAGCGAAGAAAAAGCCAACTGAATACAGGACACGCATGAGTCAACCACCAGTTCAGCTCCTCGTATTTTCCAGCCCAGAGATGTTTTGACACGCCTTTGTAGCAGGACTTGAGCCCAGACCTCCTGTATCGGAGGGAGGGACATGAACTGCTAGAGGAAGTGGCAGATATAGGTACAATTACAACATTCAAAAAACGTTTCGACAGATGCGTGAATAGGAAAGCTTTAGAAGGATATAGGATAAATGCAGGCAAGTGAGACTAGTTTAGTTTGGGAAACTTTGGTCGGCATGGATGAGTGTGATTCTATGACTACCACTGCAGCCCAAAAGCCCTCCCAATCAACCCTATCCTAAGACCAAACGGGAAGTTCGGTGTCTTTCTGAGCAGTGACCTTTTTCCAATTTCACTTCCCCTGGTGTGAACCTGGCAGTTTGCTCAATGACCTTTTCCCCTGTTTTTTATATATCTCCGGAAGTGCTATCACACACAACCAAATGATGATGGGGGGGGGGGGGGAAGCAAATTACTGTGACTCTTTTTTGTTATTAGCTACTAATCATCACCAGTAAATCACCCATGTTGCCAATTACATGCAAAGCCTATTGTGGGCAATGCAAGCCCTCAAAAGTGAGGGAGGCGCAGGGAGAGCAGGAAGGGGCTAAATCAAAATGGAGTTGGAGGGGGAAAAGAAAGCACTGTATCCCCTGCAGTACCCGCCTTTCTCTAAAGACATCGAGAGCCTTTCCAATGTGCTCCCTTTCCAATGGCACCAACATAATTGTGGCAGATATGACATCCCACCACAGCCCACTGCCTAGACCTGTTTATAGACAGCCTGGTCAGGCCCAGGAGCGGACCCACCTCCCCTCCCCCCCCCCCTGGATAGCCAAAGATCAGGAGTGTAGGGCTGTTTTTTCCCCTTTTATTGTAAAAGGGAGGTTATAAATCAGCTATTTCTGGTTCTAGAGTATTGATCTTGCATGGCAGGATCATTTCTACTGTAAATCTACAATGTTCTGTACATCACAGAAATTCGGGCAAATAAGCAACCTTTTTATTTCAGATCACAGGGGTAGTTAAGGATTGATGATTGTCCTATCAATGTTCACATTATTTCTGACTATATCACACTTTTGGACCCCAGCTTCCTTTCGAGATTTTCTCCTAAACTGATTACAACCAAATCCAAATACGTTGTATTTGGCTGATAACCTTCAAGTAGTTTAATAGGATTTCTGGAATGGAAACACTGAAAATAGGAACAGGAGTAGGCTATTCATCTTTTTGAGCCTCCACTGTCATTCAGTTTGAAAGGTAAAGTGGCCATAGTCTTACCAGACCATAAGGCTGCTCTGTTATTAGAGAAAGGCAACTGCTGGTAGTTTAAACTAAAGCTCACCATGCCTCAGGCAAGGAGAGAGGTTGGTGAGAAGATCCCACAACTGATGCGGGAATTGACCCAACATCGTTGGCATCACTCTGCATCATAAATCAACCATCAGCCTGGTTACTAACTCAGTGCCTTGTTCCTGCTTCTGCCCCGCACCCTTTGATCCCTTTAGCCTTTAACTTCTGCTTGAAAAAATTCAACGAAGAAAATCAGAGTTAACGTTTCGGGTCCGGTGACCCTTCTGGTAACTCTGATTTTTCTTCACAGATGCTGCCAGACCTGCTGAGCTTTTCCAGCAACGTTTTTTTTGTTCCTGATTCACAGCATCCGCAGTGCTATTGGTTTTTATTTTGAAAACATCCAGTGTTTAGCCTCAACCACTTTCTGGTTCTAACGTAATGGTCTTACATGCCAGGATCATTTCTACTCTAAATCTACGGCCACAAGCTCACCACTGTCTATGTGAAGAAATGTTATCCTAATCTCAGTCCTAAATGGCCTAAGCCAAATTCTTAAACTGTAATGCTTGGGTCTGGACTCCCCCACCATTGGGAACATCCTTCTCACATTTACCCTGTCTAGTCCTGTTAGAATTTTATAGATTTCTACAAGATCCCCTTTCTCATTATTCTAAACTCCAGTGAATATAGTCCTAATTGATCCAGTCTCACATCATATGTCAGTCCTTCCATTCTCAGGGATCAGTTTGGATAAACCTTCATTGCACCCACATCATTTCCAGAATATCCTTCCTCAGATAATGAGACCAAAATTGCATGCAGTACTCCACGTGTGGTCTCAGCAAGGCCCTATACAATTGCAGCTACCTCCTGTATTTGAACCCTCATGCTATGAAAGCTAACATACCATTTACTTTCTTCACTGCATTCTGCACCTGCATTCTTTCAGCAACTGGTGTGCAAGGCCACCCAGGTCTCATTGCACCTCCCCAATTCCCAATCTATCACCATTCAGATAATAACCTGCTTCTTGTTTTTGCTACCAAAGTGGATAATCTCACATTTATCCACATTATATTTAATTTGCCATGCATTTGCCCACTCATTCAACTTGTCTGAATCAAACTGAATCATCTCTGCATCCTCCTCACAGTTCACTCTCTCACCCAGCTTTGTATCATCTGCAAACTTGAAGCTGTTTTTATTTAGTCGCCTTATCTAAATTATGAATATATATTGTGAATAGCTAGGGTCCTAGCACCGATCCTGCAGTACCCCACTGGTCACTGGCTGCCTCTCTGAAAATGATTTCATTTATTCCTACTGTTTGTTTCCTGTCTTCCAGCCAGTTCTCTATCCACATCAGTATACTAACCCCAATGTCATGTGCTTTAATTTTCCGTGCTGATGTCATAGGTAGGACCTTACTGAAATCATTCTGTAAGTCCAAGCAAACCACACCCACTGTCTCTCCTTTATTGGCTCTACTAGATGCATTCTTGAAAAATTCCAGTAGATTTGGCCAACATGATTTCCCTTTCAAAAATCCATGCTAATCCTAATTTCCAAGCACCCTATTACTAAATGACGTTTGTTCATCTAAACAATATATGGTTGATACAAATGACCTAAATTAATAATGTTCCTTCTAATGTGCTACAACTTTGAACCCTATAGAGTGGTACATTAGGTGTAATACTGAAACTGGAGCATCACGTAACATGAAAAAGTTTGATTCTAAGTGCAATTGTTAGCAATTTGACAAGCCTCCTCCCTTTTAAAAAAAAATCTGATTCAGATTGGATTCTGATGCATGGATGCCTACTGCTGCCAACAGCTTTGCTATGTAGGTATTCTTCACCTCAGATTATTAACAGGGTACATGATGGAGTGGGTGCATCCCATTCTCAAATGCCACGCAGCATTTTATAGTGTGCTGACAACAACAAATGCTTGAGATCACAGTGGGTCAGGCAGAATCCATGGAGAGAGTGCAAGCTAACGTCTCCCAGCTAGATGACTCTTAGCTTGCTCTCTCTCCATGAATGCTGCCTGACCCGCTGTAATCTTGAGAACTTGTTGTTTTCAGTACAGATTCCAACATCTGCAGTAATGTGCTCCTACATTTTACAACATGTTACTGACTGGCAAACAGGAACAGGATTTTTTGCTATTCCATCCCCAACTTCAAATTATAGATCTTGCTTTCCACTTTCATTGGTAACCGTTTTGTGAATCTACTGTAAACACACGACCTGACAGTTTGAATCAGGGCTTTTCAGGTTTTGAAAATGCGCCATGTTATCAGGTGCTGAGGATTTAGCTTTTGGAGAATGTAATCAGATGTTAGAATTAAACAGCTAATTGTGAATTATTCATAAATTCAATATCGGGTCTGTTCCTTGATTTTAATGTCTTGCCATATTAACTGCAAGATGAGTTTACAATGTGGTAAATGCATCACAAAATTATTTACTAATTGCTGTTCAGTATGTGGACAGAATAAGTAAAAGATACTCTCCACGTATTTAATTAGACAAGTTGTCTAACCATGCTGGCTGAGATCAGCTAACTCAACATGCACTGGGTATCAAACTTGGGCTTTAGGCTCATGTGTTACCACTGCATTGGCATTACCAAGAGAAGTTCATTTTTAAACAAATCATTGTTGAAAACAATGTTCTTTGCTCCCTAAAATAGAACAAACATAAGAAACAAATCATTTCAGGGAACTCAACACAGGCTGAAATCAGATATTCAAATTGTGATAGTTCTCATATGTTTGAATGTGAAAATAATGGCTGCTAAATGTATCTTAGTAAGTAATTCAAGTTTTTTTTTAAATCTTATTTCACTCTATCCTTTCAGAGGGAAGTGAAAAAGAATCTTTCAGTATGCAATAAGCTATGTTATGCTATTGGTGGAACACCCTACCAGATAACGGGATGTGCCATTGGATTCTTCCTACAAATTTACCTGTTGGATGTAGCACAGGTAAGTCCCACTGAATCAGTAATATCAATATGCGGTGATTTAATCATTAAGTTCAGATTAATGACTGAAATGAGAAGTAGTATAAAAAGAAGTAGGTGTTCCTATTTCTAATATTGGAAATCACTACTGGATTGGGGATAAACAGATCTAAAAATGACTTTAACTCAAACACGTGATAAGTTTTTTCCAATTATCAGGATTTGCAACCTTGCACATGGAAATCTGCACAAGTTTGGACCACTACAGAGTTCAATACCCAAAAGCTATATCTGTATTGTAAAACTGAGTTAAAAGCTTACAGATGTCTACAGAATGGATACTTGTAATCCAGTGTGTAGTTATTGCAGAAAATGACATTTTTTTTAGAGCTGAAAAATATCTTCAGTTGTGATAAAAGCAAAATACTGCAGATGCCAGAATTCTGAAATAAAAAGAGAAAATACTAGAGAAACTGAGCAGGTCGAGCATCTTTTCTGGAGAGAGAAACAAAATTAACATTTCAAGTTCAATATGACTCATCTGTTCATTTGTGTTTCCTTCCTCAAATGTTGCCATACCTGCTGGGTTTCTGCAGCACCTTCTCTCTTCAACTATGATGGTGAAGTTTAATTATTTCTGCATGGAGAAGATAAATCTATTTTAAATGACTAAACAATTCTCAAACATAATTGTTAATATATTGGATTACGCATTTCCTCCATTGTTCTCCCTCCACTGCCTTCTGCAATACACTGAGTAGCCATGCCATTTCGAGAACTATGTGCTATATTTAATCTGCAGTCTGTTTTCAGTTGGCCACTTCTAGTTGGAAAATGCTAAGGGCATTACTGTTGACTTTGCCTGAGAAGGAAATAGAGGTTACTCCTCCTGATGGTTTTCTGAGAAGTTCTGCTGGAAATGGAAACGCATGCAGGTCATATAGAGAGAGAGGGGGGGGCCGTAATGCCTGGGCTCTATGAACAAGTGACTGGGTAATATGCCCTTTATTGATTTGTATGAACAATGGGCATGTGGACTGTCCAAAGATCCTAAGCACTTCTAGACCAGTAGTTCAGCATAGAGTTAATTCCATGACAAGGAGGGAGAATACTGGTGAGGAGGTGAAAAAATAATGAAAGCTATCTTGTCAGTCAAGTTAATCTGTAATAGCTCACAGATGCTTACTAAGAGTAGCACATGCATTGAATGTCACTGATAAAGACATTTCTAAACACTATTGCAGAGTAGTGCCAAACAGTGCTACATGTTCTACTGTAGGCCAATTTATTTTTCTACTGTACAAATGAGTCATCTTATTCTGCTTCACTGTGTTTTCACATAATCTTCTAACACACAGCTTCATCCTTCATCTGCATCCTTGATCCTCTTCATTGGCCGAGCCTGGGATGCCATCACTGATCCATCTGTGGGTTTTCTCATAAGCAGAAGTAAATGGACAAGATTTGGGAGGCTGTTGCCATGGTAAGAAGGTTTTTGTGATTGAGATTTTCACATTGTATATTACTGATGAGAAGCAGCAGGGCGTAGAGAAACCTAAATCTGTGTAAAGTTATTCATTTAATGCAAAGCAAGGGATCGTACAGGCTAAAGTCTGCATATTTGCATGAACCAAGCAGTTCTTACTTAATGTCGTCCCATTGAATATGCTTCAATGCAGATCGTAATGTTACGCTTTAAATGTGATTGTTCATAGTGGAATCTCATTCTTATAAATGCCTGGGAACTGACAAAAGCACCAATTATCAGCAGTTTACCTTCAGAATTTCAGCTCAATGACTGATTTATAATGGAGGCTCTGTTGCAACTATAAAATGCCTATTTAACACTGAGAAGAAATTTGCAACAAGAACCTGTGCATAAATGCAAATGATTTAAAATGTCCTAATATGCATTTAAATAAGAGATGTGACTAAGGTTGTAGACCACATGACTAATAACATGACAGGCAGCATGGTGGCTCAGTGATCAGCACTGCTGCCTCACAGCACCAAGGAGTTGGGTTCAATTCCACCCTTGGGTGACTGTCTGTGCAGAGATGCATTCTCCCTGTGCCTGCTTTGGTTTCCTTCCACAATTCAAAGATGTCCAGGTTAGTTGGATTGGCCATGATAAATTTCCCACAGCATGCAGGCTAGCTGGATTAGCCATGGGGAAAGTGGGGTTACAGGGGTGGGGTAGGATGTTCTTTGGAGGGTTGGTGTGAACTCAATGGGCTGAATGTCCTGCTTCCACCCTGTATGATTCTAAATCTGCAAGCCATTGCTTTTGTCTAAACCCCCCCCCCTCCCCCCACTTCCTCATTGGAAATGTGCTGATTCTTGGAGCATTGCTGAGTTTATAATAGAAATGGCTCGATTTAAATTAAGTTCTGTTTTTACAAACACAGAGAATTTGCTACTCATCAGGGAGTTTAAGTGGTGCCCTAAAACTTCCACCAGATTATAATGGAATTAAACTCTCACTCGACCATGTGGACTGTTTACTATCCTGTCCCAGATCTGAGTGAAGGGTCTTTTCCAATAATTAGAGCAGGTATTATACTCCCTGCTCTAATCCCCACCATCCTGGAGGAGGGGGCAATATTTCTGTCTTTGAAATATTTAGAACCAGAATTCTGGATTCACAGTAGAGCCATTTGCTCAAAAGAAAACCTTTTTTCATGATCTAATTTCTGAAGTGTTGTTTACATTCCCTCTGAGGAGACTCCAGGGTTGCTGGTCAGTTTGAGGGTGTTGTGAATAATTCTACTTTAAGACATTGTAGCTGTCTGGGCCAAAATTCATAAAACAGCTAATATTTTCCTGTCCACCACTTTTCTATTTTTGTATCTGTAATATCCACATTTTGTTTTCTTTGTTCACTCCATTTAAAGTGCAGTCAAATTCTGAGCAGATACATTCAAATATAAAGCTAAACTTAGAGCAGTGATTGTCTTTTGCTGGCAACAACAGTTTGGTCTCGGTCATTATCCTCCTGTCCTTTTGTTAATTGGGGCAGCACAGTGGTTAGCACTGCTGCCCCCCCAACACTAGGGACCTGGGTTCAGTTCTAACTTTGGGCATCTGTGTGGCATCTACACATTCTCCCTGTGACTGTGGGTTTCCTTCAGATGCTCACGTTTCCTCCCACAGTCCAAAGATGTGCAGGTTAGGTGGACTGGCCAAGGGAAACGCAGGGTTATAGGGACAGGATGGCGGGTTGGTTCTTGGTGGGATGCTCCTCAGGAAGATGGTGCAGACTCGGTGGGCTAAATGGCCTCTATCTCCACTGTAGGAATTCTACGACTCTGAATCCCATCTCTCAGCTCCAGCTTGTCCAATACAGTTTAAAAAGAGCAAATTTTGAATTCAGTTTGGAAAATGCAAAATTGTTCAGCATGCAATTATTCCCACTAAGTTTCCCTTTTTTAAAATACTGCTTTCAAAGAATTTTAAAAATCCTTTTTCATCCTGTCTTTCCCAACATCCCTGCCGCCCCTCTCAAATTAAGAGCACTTCTGGTCAGCCCTCCGACTTTGAGAGCCTGTTCACACTCCTTAACAAAACTGTCTCCAGACCAACTGGGGAGGCACTGCTGTAAAAATCTCACTCCTCCACACTCCCTCATAGGGGAGACAGGGGAGGTGTTGGGGCCCAGGAACAGTTTGAATCTCTGTTTCCCAGCCCTGGAGGGAACATTGAGCACAAGGTGTCAGGACTGAAGAGAGTTCCCATTACACTTTTAGCAAATGTTGGTGTGTACCCTGGCTGAGGGAAACCCTACGGTGAATGCATCTTTACACATTCTTCTTGGTACAACGGAATAAAGTGAATGCTGCCAGGATATTAACACAGTTATTTCCTGTGCCCGGGCTGCCATTTCGTTAGAATTGCTGTTGGAAAGTTTTATCCACAAACGGCACAACTGCCAGTGGAACTGCAGCACATTTGGGAACAGGATCTAATTCCTGGCACATGTTGTTCAAATATTAAGCAGCAGTCACATGGTCTGATTCCGTTATGGCCCCTTCCTTGGAGTCAGACCAGAACTGGACTCCTGCTCAAATAAATTGGCAACTGAAGCTGTTGGTGTGTATGTCTGTACCCTGTCCATAGTGCCTCAATCTGCAGCTTAGTAAATGGCTCCTTTTTTTTTTGGCAAGGCATAACAGCAGTGGTTTTACAGCAGTGAATGCACTTCTTCCCTCCTCATTCCAACCGCACAATTAAAACTCTGTCTGCTCATTCTAATCCAAATGAACTTGTGAAACTGAACGTGTTTTTAGTTGCATATGTGTATTACCTATTGTATATAGTGACTGCATCTGCTGCATTCATCATTAGAATAAATACACCATATTAGAGCCCATTGTCACCAACTCCAGAATTTTCTATTCATTCATGGCATGTGGACATTGCTGGCTAGGCCAGCATTTATTCCTCATCCCTAATTGAGTCACATGTAGGCCAGACCAGGTAAGGATGGCGGTTTCCTTCTCTAAAGAATATTAATGAATTTGATGGGTATTTCCAGTAATAAGCAATGTATTCATGGTCATGACTAGACTTTTAATTCCAGACTTTTTTAAAATTCAAATTCCTCTATTTGCTATAGTGGTATTCAAATCCAGGTCCCTAGATCATTACTTGGGTCTCTGGATTAACAGTCCAGTGATAATTCCACAAAGCCATTGCCTTCCCTTGATGGTAAAATGTGAAATCTGGAATAAAAGCTGGCCCAGTACTGACCATATAACCACTGGTGATTATTGTAAAAATTCATTTGGTCCAATAATGTTCTTAAGGAATGGAAGTCTACCATCCTTTTTTGGCTAATCTACGTGTGAGTCCAGACCCACAGCAATGTGGTTGACTCTTAACTGCCCTCTGGAATGGGCAATAAAGGATGGCCTAACCAGCAATGCTCTCATCCTGTGAATAAATTGATTTTTTTTTAAAAACCCTGCTATGGGGGATTTGAACCCATGTCCCCAGAACATTAACTGGTGTGCCACTGCCTCCCCCAGATTTGGTAGCGTATCTATAGGAACCTCAGTTATAAAATATCTACAAGAGGTTTGACCCTTGAAAGAACCTTGAAGAGATGTTAAGAATTTCTTTGGCATGAAGCATCATATGCAATCTGATGATAGAAAATAGCAGCAGAAGAGTTGCAAATTAGCCTGAAGCTTGTTTTAGCCAAGACCCTGCCTTCCCCTCTGAGCTTCTGTAGGACTTTGAGAGGATGGGCTTTATAAGCATTCGTTCATTTGAGACAAGCAAAGCCCAATAACATTGTGTTCAACCTTCCAACTGGATGCTGTCCAGAGCACACAACTGAAACCCTAATTCATTTAATGATTACTTGTTCTATTGCTTTCCAAGCTTCCCTTTTCTATCGCCAGCTCCACCATTCACCTAGTCCAAAACTCTGGGCACATTTTAAGATCGGCATCCATATGTACAGCCTTGTTCCGACCTCTTTGAATCACATTCTCCTGCCATTTATCCAACCGCCTGACCTTCCATTCCTCTGACACATAGGTTTATGACCCAAACCTGTCCAGACCCTTGTTGGAAGCTGATTTTGATTACGCCAACTCATTGCAGTTCAGTTTCAGAACCATTCTGCCTTGCAATATTTTTGTCAGCTTTGTGAAAACAGGCATCTGAACATGCCTTTGATTTTGCAACAAAGTTCATGGGATGTGGACATCGCTAGTTAGGCCAACATTTATGGCCCACCCCTAATTGCCCTTAAGGTGATGGTGACTGATCACGCTGAACCATTGCAGTCCGCTAGACCAGGGAGACCCTCAGTGCAGGTTGTGGAAAGTAGTTCTAGGATTTTGACCCAGTGACATTGTTTCAAATCCGGGTTGTGTATGGCTTGGAGGGGAAGTTTCAGATAATGGTGATCCCATGCATCTGTTTGCCCCTGTTTTGTAAGCAGGAGAGGTTACAAGTTTCAAAAGTGCTGTGAAAGTGTTTCAAGAATTCTGTTGTCAAAAAGATGAGTTGCAAAATAAGAAAGCTATCGATAGTGTGGAATTTGTTTCAATAGAGGGCTTGGCTCTGGTTCTAAAGTTGGAATTGAATTTCATTGAAAAATGGCTATTTCTTACTTCGGGGTAGTAGCACTGAAGGGAACAGTGATCACTTGCAAACCTTACAACAGAGAATCACATCACCTATGAGGACACTAAAATTCACCTTTCTGCATCTTCATTGGTCTCTGATTCGGATCGATCATAGTAGTTTCCTTTTAAAATGGGAAAATGATAATTGAATTGTCATCACATGACAGCTCAAAGATGTATACCTGGAAGGAAATTGTCTGTACTTTGTCTGCAATTGCAGGTGACTATTTGATACATTAAAAGTAACTGGAAGTATGCCAGAAATTCTGAACATCAGCCCCTGCAATTAAAATAAATATCCTTGTCGAGCTTACTTCTACTAAAATTGTAATGAAATTGATGT